AAAGAAAGAATATGAAGTGCCAGTAGATAATGTGAATAGATATTCAACCTCACTTAAAGTAAAAGAAATACAAAAAAAGGGCTGGCTGGTTAGTTCAGTTGGTTAGAGTGTGGTGTTATAACTCTGGGGTCAAGGATTTGGATTCCTGCACCGACCAGCAACCAAAAAAAGAAAAAAAAATTCAAATACCCAAAATTGTAAAATTATCAACAGTTTGGGGAAATGGCCTCCCCCAGACATTGTTTGTTGGAAGTTTAAATCTCTACCCATCCTTTTAGAGATAATTTGTAGTTTGTATACTTTTTATTTTTTTGCTGCTGGCTGGTATCGGGACCCAAACCCTTGAACTTTGTGTTATACCATTGTGTTCTAACCAACTGAGCTAACCAGCCAGACTGTGCATACATTCTGATCCAGCAATTCCATCTTTGAGAATTCATCCCTAAGAAAAATTTGGATACATGTACAAAGATACACATATGAAGTTGTCTCTTATATAGTGAAAAATGAGAACCAACCTAAATATTTATCAATAGTTACAAGTACATTATTTAATATCCATAAGTGGAATTTTATGGCAGGCATCTTCCCACCAATTTTTTTTTATTGTGGTAATGTGCATATAATGTAAAATTTACCATCCTAACCATTTTCAAGTGTAGTGTAGTGCCATTAAATTCATTAATGTTGTTGTGAAACCATCACCAACATCCGTCGCTAGAACTCTTTTCATCTTTTTTTTTTAAAGTAGCTTTTTGGTTCATTTAAAATTTATTCTCATACATATATAAAATCATTCAAGTTTGATATTTTCCATTACTGAAATGACACAAATATTATTTGGCTCAAAAAGTTCGACTCAATACGTTTACTGAGAAATTATGGGCAAAATGATGTGTGGAAATAAAAAGCTGAGAATGGTGCAGTTTCTCCCATCAAGAAACTCCTCATATTTGTCTCAGAATTACTGGTAAAAACCTAATTTCATTAGAAGATAAATGCTTAAAAAAATAGTAGCAGCAGCAGTTAGTACTTTTGGGTGATGTCATATGCCAACCATCATTTGATGTTCTTTACATATATTCTTTAATGCTCACAGCAACCCTGCAAGACATAATACATGCATTATTTTTATTTTCTCTACTGAGAAAACGGGAGCTCAATTACTCTTGCCCCAAGTCACACAGGTAGTGAGCACCTGAGCATGCAGGATTTAGAACCAGGTTTGCCCTGCCTCTAAGTCCAAACTTTTCTTGCATATCATAGTTTAATACCCTTAAAGCAAAGTTCTCCAAAAACAGGTCTTAGGGAGTTCAGGGACCTCTGCAAATTGTCTGAAAAATTTTGTATGGCTATGAGTATGTGAACTTTTGTGAGAGAGAGAAATTTTAAGAGAGAAAAAATGAAGTATGTTCAGACAAAATATACACATCATCATACCCGCAAAATATAATCATCTTAAAACACCTTCTCAGTGATGTGCATATAACAGTGCTTTCTAAAATGTGAAGTGCTGTAAAAAGATTAGTTATTATTAAAAAATCAATGGGCGGTTTAAGATTAAGGTGAAAACATAGTCCACATTAAGTTTTAGACAGAAAAAATGGAAACAATCACTATAGTCTTTATACAATGGGTGTTTTTTATTTCTGTAAAATACTACCTCTGTTTAACAGGAGGCTTACAGAGTATATCGCCATCATGATTTTAAGGACCTCAAAACTAAACGTTATCATTGTTTGTGTCCATTAACCAATGTCTCCCTAACCTCCCCTTCCCCCTCTCTAGTAAATCACAGTTCTATTCTCTCCTTCTGAAAGTTCAGTGTATTGTTGTGTTTGCCCTCTCCTCCCCTCCCCACTTTCCTTTGCTCCCACTTATAAGTGAGAACATGCAGTATTTCTCTTTCTATGCCTCGCTTATTTCACTTAACATAATTTTCTCCAAGCTCATTCATATTGCTGCGAATGGCAGAATTTCATTCTTTTTTATGGCTGAGTAGTATTCCATTGTATATATATATATATATATATATATACCACATTTTATCTGGTCATCTGTGGATGGACAATTACTTTGGTCCCATATCTTGGCTATTGTAAATAGAGCTGCGATAAACGTGCGAGTGCAGGTGTCCCTTCTACATGATGATATACCCATTCCTTTGGGTGTATACCCAGTAGCAGCAGGGTTGCTGGATTGTATGGTAGTAGAACTCTTTTCATCTTGCAAAAGTGAAACACTATACCTTTAAACAATAACTCCCATTCCCTCCTCCTCTTAGCCCCTGGCAACCACTGTTCTACTTTCTGTCTTCATAAATTTGAGGACAGTACTCTAGATATCTCATATAAGTGGAATCTTACAGTGCTTGTCTTTTTGAGATTGGCTTATTTCACTGAGCATAATGTCCTCAAGGTTCATCCATGTTGTAGCATGTGTCAGAATTTCTTTCTTTTTTAGGATGAAAAACATTGGCAGGCATCTTATTTTTTTTTTTTTTTTGATTATTTTTTGAATGGGTAATACATCCATATTGTTCAAAATTCAAGAGGAGAATTGGGAGGAGGAGGGAAAAGAAGGGGATGGGGAGTCACTGCTGATGGGTAAGGGGTTTATCTTAGGGGTGATGAAAGTGTTCTAGAATTAGATAGTGTTGATCGATGCACAGCTTTTAATATCCTGAAAACCACGTAATTGTACACTTTAATTACATTAATTTTATTGAGAATTACATCTCAATAAAGCTATTAAAATTCAAGAAGAATAAAATAAAGCCTTTTCATAGCTTGTCCCTTAACTTTTCCATTTTTTAAACAGAAATTACCATCAATCATTTCTTGTATAACTTTCCAGAAATATTTTTATTTCTTATGAATATTCTATTTTTTCCTCCCCCTTTACCAAAGTGACAGCAAATTGATCACAATGTTCTGCACCCAAATAAGCATCTCTGAAGTCTGTTTCTTTTATTTATAGGGAAATATATCTTTAAAACTACATATGCTTTTAGCAAGTAGTGAACTTTCAATTCTGGCAGTCTTCAAACTTAAAAAGCCCTTTTTTTTTTTTTTTTTTTTTTAACCAGGAATAAAGGATTATATGCTTACTGTAGGAGATTTAGACAGTACAAAAAAGTATAAAGAAAAATGTAAAAGTCACACATTCCCAGGGATAGCTATTGCCTACATCCTTTCAGACTTTTCTTTGCATGTATATACTTTTAAAAATCACAATTGGGATTATAATATACTTGTTATTATATAATCTTTTTTTACATGTATAAATAATATGTTGTGACCATAGTATTTATCTATCTATCTGTGTATGCACATTGTTATTTTTAATTGATACCTAGTATTAAATTGTGTGGGCTTTTCTCATTTACTTAACCCATCATCTGTTAATGTCCATTTAAGTTGTTTCTAATTTTGTCACTATTGTAAACAACAAGTATCTTTGTGTAGTACATCTTTGTACACTTGCCAAATCATTTCCTTGAGATATTTACTATGCTGCTGTTTTGTACTCTGCCAGAATTTTTAAACAATGTATGTTTTTAAACACACACTACATAGATTTCCGTGATATTATCAACTTTGTGAAAAGGTAGTATGGGTATTTAAACCCAGAAAGATGGCAACGTGTCTGAATTTCACAGCTAGTCAGTGCAAGAGCTAGAACTAAAAGTCATGTCTTCTAATCACAGTTTAGTGTTCTTTTAACTATGCACACTGCCAGGCCTTGAATATAAGGAATGATTTTTTATTGTTGCATCTGTATTCCTAAAAATAAGATTCTTGATATAAGGAATGATCTTTTATTGTTGCATCTGTATTCCTAAAAATAAGATTCTTGATATAACAACTTTTTGGAATTCCTTGTATAGTGTGCTGGAACTTACTTACCCATTCATATTAAAAGTTCACATATCTTTGTTAGGGATACAAGCTAAAGCTATACCTTCTCAAACATTTTAGTAGTTTATGTGCATTAACATCTTCATTTAATTATTCAACCATATTGTTATCTTCCCCTGTATAAAAATCTCACATTCTTTCTTTTTTTTTTTAAAGCTTCAAGTTATATTATTACTTTTGGGTAGTACTAGTTTCAGTGGACTGTGAGGATTGCTTTGGTTTGAATGCCAGCTCTATCTTTTGTTGTGTGACCAGTTACTTAAATCTTTCTAAGCCTAGTGTCATCATCAATAAAAATGAAGTAATAGTACATGTGTCTGGTATCTAAAATAGTCAAATTCACAGAATCAGAGTATAATGGTACTTGCCAGGGGGTGGAGGAGAGGGAAATGGAAAGTCAATCAATGGGGCATAAACTTTCAGTTAAGCAAAATGAATAAGCACTAGACATCTGTTGTACAACTTTGTACCTATAGTCAACAATACTGTACACTTAAAATTTATTAAGAGGGTAGAGCTCATGTTAAGTGTTTTTATCACAGTAAAATAAAAGTACATGTGTCATAATGATGATTAAATGAATTTAACATATAAAAAGTGCTTGGTATAATCTGGCATATACATACCACTCATTAAATGTTTGTATTATTTAATGTTTATAATCTATAATAATTTTGTGTTTTGATATCCGTTGTCTTTTTTGGTGAAATTTTTTGAATTAACGTGTTCATATTCCTGTAGATCTCCCCTATCTTCCCCCTCCCCTCAATTTAGTTCCTATGTAATCCCATTCATTAATTTTGACAGTGTCTTTGTTTTATCATGGCTTATTCAAAGTGAGGAGCTGCCATACTGATCTTGCTTCCTGTTGGTAATAAACACGAGTTAAATTATTGACATTTTGCAGATTATGTCAATCATATTTTAAGAAACTGCAATACAGAATAAGGTGAATCCTAATTTGCTGAATGCAGATTTCTGAGACACCTTGCAGTTATTTTCGACTCACCCCAATCTGCTCTATTTTTGCTACTTAAGGAGAAAAGCTGATTTGAAGTTTTCTTTTTGTCTTAATTCTAGCACATGCAGATGACAATCCAGGCTCTCCAGGATGAATTGCGGATCCAAAGGGACCTGAATCAACTGTTTCAACAAGATAGTAGCAATAGGACTGGTGAACCTTGTGTGGCAGAGCTGACAGAGGAGAACTTTCAAAGGCTACATGCTGAGCACGAGCGGCAGGCCAAAGAGCTGTTTCTTCTTCGAAAGACCTTGGAGGAAATGGAACTGCGTATTGAGACTCAGAAGCAAACCCTAAATGCTCGAGATGAATCCATCAAGAAGCTTCTGGAGATGTTGCAGAGCAAAGGACTTTCTGCCAAGGCTACCGAGGAAGACCATGAGAGAACAAGACGCCTGGCGGAGGCAGAGATGCATGTCCACCACCTAGAAAGCCTTTTGGAGCAGAAGGAAAAAGAGAACAATATGTTGAGAGAGGTGAGTGACCACTTTTTAGTTGTTATGATTTATTGATTGCCTTTTTTTCCCCCTGAATAATCAAAGCCTGGCCTAGGTAAATTTGTGTGCTCTACTATTGGAAGGGAATTTTGTCTTTTGTATTTAAGTGCTTCACTGATTTCTCTTGATTTGCTCTCTTGTATGAGATAACGTCATCTGGTATATGCTGGCTCAGTAACTTTCTGGGTAGAGGTTCATTTGTTGCTACAGGAGCACAGGATTTTCTTGTTTTGTTACTCATCTCTAGACTTATTATCATAGAGACAGTGGAACAACACCAGAATCAGAGTAGCTAACTATTGCTCAATTTAAAAATGTTAATAAGTGAAAGCAAGTGATTGCCGTAGTTTACGTGTGCTTATAAAGTCCTGGACCGCAGTAATGGAAGTTTGCCCTGTGGTTTCCATGGAAACTGTTGCCTTGCTGTAAAAGATACATGATAAAAATCATTTGCTGCCATGGAGGCACAGAATGATATAGAGACACACCGTTACTTTTAGAGAGGAAACCAGACTTTAGCTTACCTTTATGACTTGATAGTTTTTCAATTTTCTAGGTAGTGCTGCATTTTAAGAAAGCATAAAGGAAGATTCATTTTACAGTGAATTTAAAAAATTAGCATATTTCTCTATGTGGTCAGATTTTAGATAACTCACACTTGGAGGGGGAAAAATCCCCAAACTGTGTTAATATGAGTCTGAATAATAATTACTTTCTAAATGAAATGTGAGGAAAGGAGGTTAAAAATGGCATATTAAAAAAAAAGGCGTATTCCCAATGCAGCAAAATAGTAATTAAAAAAATACATCAACATGCATAGTTTGTTCCGTAATTTCTCCTTTTATTAAAAATCTGAAATATATTATAGTGAGGGCATTTCTGGTTTTGGAGAACTTTATTATTTTTTTAAAACATGGTTTTGGTACACAGGAAATCCATTGTAGTTGATTGTAATAACATTAGAAAATAAATTAGCAAAAACTTAAAACCCAGGGTATTGTTACCTAGTGATAATTGTTAACTTCTGTTATGTATATTTTTCTAGTTATTTCTGTTGTTTATACATTCTTTCATTATTTCTGTGTTTTTTTCTTTCTCTTAAAAAGTTAGACTAGTGTAACATTGGCACTGTTCAGTGTAACTTTCTCTGATGATGGAAATGTTCTATATCTGCTCTGTCAAATATGGCAGCCACTAGCCAGCCACATGTGGCTGTTGAGCAGTTGAAATGCAGCTAGTATGACTGAAGAAATGAATTTTAAATTTATTTAAATATAACGAATTTAAAATTAAACTGAATTAATAAAATGTAAATTTAAGTAGATACACGTCGCCTGGTGGCTATCGTGTTAGTGCTGTTATGCATAATGTAATTGCCTGCTTTTCTTAATAATTTGTGTGACCATCCTTCTCTGTCAGTACTTATAGATGTTTGTAATTTCAAATGACTTTGTAATATTCCACTGCATTTATTTGAACATCTCTTATTGTTGAAAATTTAGACTATTAACTTTTCAGTATTATACATCTATGCTGCATTGAATATCCTTAACCATATCTCCCTGTGCGTTAATTAATTTTTTCTTTAGAATAATTTCCTAGAAAGGAATTTGCTCATTAAAGGGTGTGTACATTTTCAAAACTTTAAAATAAACTCATCCTCCAGAGTTGTTGGACCAGTTTATCCTCACAGCAGCATGAACTGTGTTCTTATGATTAATCTGCAGCTATGTACATGTTATGCTCTTCAAATGACCAGACCGTACTGTTTTAGCGAATTTTCTATCAACTACCATGTTACAGGCATATCCTGAGTTTCTTTAGTTTACTTTAACGACTTAATATTTTAATAAGATAGCCTAGAGCCTAGTTAGAGATCACCGTTAGTTAGAGAAGTTCTGATAATCTCAAAGAGCATCCATCATGAAAATGATACCAGCATCAAGATGAACTGTTAATGTTAAAGTTTTACTGCTTCTGCCAATTCTTTTTTGAGTTTTAGAGTTAATAAATGCAGAATAGTTAAGGATTGTGGAAAGCCACAATGTTATTCTGGCATAGAACAATCATAAATATGGTGAATTCAAAAAAATGGTGGAAAAAACAATGTATTTAAGACTGAGTTTCAAATAGTAAGAAGCTCTACAAATATCGAGTCTCAACTTATGTACATATTGTGGGAAGAAATATAGGTCTTGTCAATGGTGACTTGAAATGATTGTTGATGTCATTACTAGTATCTGAAGAAAGGGAAAAAGAATCATGGGTTGGCAATACTGAGATATGAATAGATTTTATTATTTATGTGATTATTGTCCATCTTTTGAAAAATTGGTATTTCAGCAATTCTCAGGCTCAGTTTTTCCCATTTTAACAGTATGAAATTGAGTTAAGTCTTATCCTGATGGTATCTTGCAATCTTTGTTAGCAAAGAAGCAGTCCTAATGTATTTGTTTGCCTGTGTATTCACAAATATGGTCATGGCTGTTCATTTTGTCATCACTTCAGTTAAGGTATGAGCATTGTTAGTATTTCTCATGTTAACTTTGTTGTTCAGTATGTCTTCAGAAATATTCCGTGAATGAGGATCGAAACAAAGTTTCTGTGTGTGGAGAAAATGATGAAAACAGGTCATAATGATATGTGATCAAATTCTATGTTTAAATAAGTAAAGAAAAAAAAACCCCAAAACCTCTTGCAATCAGTATTAAATAAACATTCTAAATGATAAAGCTTTGTGTCATGATTTATCTGGAGGCATTTTCTCCTTTACTTTACAGCATGTAAAACAATGGTGTGTGATGGTGTGTTTTACAATTAATGGCATCTTAGATTTGATGATATAATGTAACATTAAAATGGCATATGAATCTAGTAACATTTGTGATTAGTTTTTCATTTTGTTTATGAACATGATTCTGTAGATAGCAGGTAAATAGTTCTTGCCAAAAAACCCAAAGAGGAAGAAATAAAATTTCGATTAAGTATTGTATTTTGTTTGTACTGAAATCACATCATTTGACTACTTATTGTTAGGTTTTGAATTGTTTTACTGTATCACCTTTCCTTTGGTAGAAGAGTGATGACCTCTATTGGACAAACGCTGAACTACAGGCAAGACTTGGTTAGTCCTTGGGGCTTGGGCATACGAAGCTTTCACAAGCTTTACAGGTGATTCTGTTATACACCAAAGTCTGAGACCCAAACTTTGGTTTGTTCTCAGTCTTTTGGCAGAGCATACCTAAGCTGGCCATGGAATTTTTGGATCTTCAATCTTTATGCATCGTCTATAGACCAACTAAATAATATATAGTTGGCCCTCCATATCCATGGGTTGTTTGTCGATGGATTCAACCAACGGCAGATTGAAAATATTTTTAAAAACACAACAATGAAAAATAATGCAAATTAGAAAATAGCATTTATATTGTATTAGATAGTACAAGTGATCTAGGTTATATGCAAATACTGTGCCCTTTTATATGAGACTTGAGCATCAGTGGATTTTGGCATCTGCCAGGGGTCCTGGAAACAGTCCCCCATGGATACCAACTGTATTTCAAATCTGTATGTGCTCATGATTTTTAAAATACGGGTAAATGCTCTTGTGATGAATGAAATACAAATTTGTTTTAAAACGTGGTCACAGTCTGCTAGGTTTTTTGTCTCTGTTTCAATCAAAAAACCTTGTTAGTACAACTTCTGTCACATTAGGGTTTGCAGAAATGTTTGAGGTTAAAAGTGCCAATGTTTGAACAGTTTCTAGGCTAGGAATTCTGAATCTAACTAGCACATCCGAGGGATGCCCGTCGGTATTATTTGCAGTTGAAAGGTATAAGCCGAGGAGATTGTGGGGGGGAAAGGAAATAGAGATATATAGAGAAAAAAATAGACAAAATAGACAGTAGGAGGAATTAAAAAAGGAAAAGGGGTCACTAGTTAGTTTGGGCTTTTGTTGTGATTTGGAAAGTGAGAGCTGGTGTACACCTCACCTGTTCAGGTCATTCCTTCTCCCTTTTTGTTGTGTCGTTTGTTCCTCACTTCCATTTTGACAAGAAGACAGGTTTTCTCAGCATAATGCCATCACTGGAGTTGATAGAGGGTTACTGTACAGTGCTGCTGGACGCTGGCTGGGTTAAGATGCTAAAAAAGAAATGAGGATACTTTCCGTTTGACCGCCTGTCTTCATTTGTTTCCTTTGAGTTGTGAGTACAGTAAACACAGAACTTTGTGGAGGAGTGAATCTGTGAAGGGACTTCACAAACAATTTAGAGCTTCTACCCTTGAACCAAGAGTGCTAAAAGCTAAAATCTGAAACTTGAAAAAAAGAAGTTTTAGATATATTATTTTTCAGACACAAATGCTCCTTTCTGACTGGTGTATAGGTAAATGTTGACTTACTTTTAAGAAGAAAGAAACTACTGAAGAAAAGGACAGACATGAAATTTGATGCCTAACGTTTGTTTTCTAACTCTAGATTAGCCTTTATTCTTTAGTAAATTAAGGAGAGAAAATGAACCCATTTTCTCTTGTCAAACACAGTTGACAGTATAACAAGATCCAGATAGTTCTACCTCTAATGTAATTTTTTTGAATGAAAATATCAGGCCAATAGGAGTGAAATAAAGTGAGCAAATAACATATTCTACTTCTTACACTTGTTGGAATAGTGCATTCACTTCTATTTCCAGAGTCTCCTCTCTTACTAGCAGTGCATGAGTTGGAGGCTTCATATGCTTAGAGGGAAAGGGGAGTTTATCTGCTCACTGACTGCAAGATGTGTTCCTAATGAGCTTTAACGTGCAGGCCTTTGAATGGAAATTTATGAGTGATGGGTTTGAAAATGACTTTGTAGGAAAGCTTTATGTCTGTAAATGGTATAAAAGGCATCCCAGTTCTTTATTGTATGCAGAGAAGGATTTTTTTATTCAAATGGGTTTGTTTTGTTTATATTTTGCTTGGATGCTTGCTAGGGTTTAAAAATGAAATTAAAATAATTTTACCTTAAAGTGAAGCATTTTGAAATTACCTATTTGGAATTAGGTAATGGTGAAGAGGAAAAGTCAGATAAAATTAGTTGAAAATCTGAACTGTGAGTATTTCAAAGAAATGGAATTTTAATATTTTCAAGTAGATATAGAAATACAAAATAAGAAATGTTGTAAAGTATAGGTTATAGGATTTTATTAATAGATGCAGATAGTTTAAAATTAGTAGTGTTCATTTTTAAAATACATTTTAAAGTTTTGCACTCATTTATTGAACAAATATAATTAAATATCTACTGTCTTCTCAATTAATCACCTTGTTTAAAGCGTGGAGAATAGATTCAGTGTGGATAAATTGGAGTCTGGGAAGAGGCTGCCAAGTTTGTTCTAATGAAGATGAGACATTTTTATGGCCTGAACTAATGTGTTAGGTGTTGGGATAGAAGAAAACAGATGAATTCAAGAGAGTTAGAAAACTTCTTTGGATGCAATATAGAACAGATGCAGAAAATATTATAAAAAGTGTATAGCTTTATAAATTATAAAGTAAGCATTCTTGTAACCACCACCCAGGTCGAGAAATAGAACTTTAACAGCCACCCAGAAGTCTTCCAGGTACTCCATCCCAGGCAAAGCTCTCTCCCTTTTCCATAGAAATAATCACTATCTCGGCTTTTATGGTAATCATGCCTTCGCTATTTATGATATTTATCACATCTTATCCCTAGTATTATAATATTGTTATATTGAATCATGTATATTAAGTTAATATAATTTCTAAGTATCATCCCTAAACATTGTGGCCTCTTTTTGCCTATTTTTCAAAAATATGCTTTAAATCTCTTAATTAAAAATTTCCCTTTAATGATTCCCCTCTTTTCCTCATATAGTTTAGCTATTTCTTAGCTTGTTAGCTGGAATGATAATTGCATTCTTTGTAATTTCTCTTTATTTCAATTGAATGACCTGTCTTCTTGCTATAGGTCATATTTTCATGCTTTGTGTACCTAGTAATTTTGTGTATGTTTTTTTTCGTGGTCTAGTAATTTGTTATTGTATGATGGACATTATAGATGCAAGGTTATTGAGTGGCTGGATTATGGTGTCTTCCTTAATGAAGTAGTGTTTTGTCTTGCAAGAGTTACTTTACTTGTGGATTAACTCGATCTTTTCAAGACTTGTTTTAAAACTGTTAGGGTTGGTTTGGAGTAGACTTTCCTCTAGGGCTAAATTCTGTTCCTAAGGCTTGACGTTTCTGCGGTCTCTACTAAGTGCCTTTGGTGTTCTCTCCACTTTGGCCATTTGGAGAGTTTTTCCCAGTCTCATGAAGGTTTGGGGAGTTGCTCAACTCATAGCTCCCTGATAGTTGTTCTTTCCCTAGTAGTTCTTTGTGTGACCTTTTTGGAGTCTTGCCCTATGCATGCACAGCTTAGTATTTGGCCAGGGACTCAAGGGGACTTCTTTCAGATTAGACACTGTTGCTTGTATGGCAAGCCTTTTTCTCAGATTGTTCTGCTCTGCAAATTTCCACTGCCTTGAGGAGCCTTACCCTATTGATCTGTTCCCTGAGCTCTGTAAGTCTACTCTTTTCTGTTTGGGCTCCCCCTCCTTGTGTCACATTTCAGATTGCAAGTCTGGGCATCACCTTGTTTGTTTCTTTTCTCTCAAGGATTATAGCCCTGTACTAGTTGTTGTCCAGTGTTTGAAAATAGTCATTTCATGCATTCTGTCTAATTTTATAGTAGTTTATGACAGGAGCCATCTTGTCTCTTTTACTCCCATTATGGTCAGATCATGCTGATATTGTAGGGAGGGGAGAAGTATGATGAGATATTGATCGTGGGATTTAAAGCAGATTAGTATCCTGATTTGTTGATGTTTTTATCAAGATCACTCTGGTACTCTTCTGAAAATGGACAAAGGAAATGGATGGAAACTAACTAGAAGATGTTGAAGTCATCTAGGCTTAAACTAGACTGGAAATGGAATGAAATGGATAGATTCAATGAATATTTTGGCGGTAGAACAATTAGTACTGCTGTTGAATTTGTTTTGGGAAATGAAGATCAGGAAGAATGAAAGGAGATGCTCTTGGGTTTGGCTTGAGCCACTGGATGGCAGTGCCACTTAATGAGATGCGGAAGACTCATCTCTCATCAGATGAGGGCAAGGCTGAGAAAGAGAAAATCAAGAGGTTTTTTTGGATAAAATTAGTTTGAGTTACCTTTAAGACATCTAACTAGAGATTATCCCACGGGCAGTTGGATATGGGTCCTGAAATCAGAGCAAAGGGCAGTGTTCACTGAAAGTTGAATTGTGTCCCCCAAGTTTTATGTATTAGCAACTTAATCCCCACTGTAACTGTTGAGGGTGGGAAATCCTATTATGGTAATTGAAAGGTGGAGCCTTGAAGAGGTGATTAGATTGTAGGACTGTGCCATAGTGAACAGATCAAAAATGGTGGTCATGGGTGTGGTTTGGAGGGCTTCAAAAAGAGAGTAGAGTGAATGTGGAGGTTAGTCTCACCATCTCTTTCTGCTCCATCATTCACAATGTGATTCTCTCCTGTCACTTTTGCCACCACCAGGGCCTTAACCAGCTGTGTTCCCTGGACTTTGGACTTAGGAAGTCTTGGGCACTACAGGTTGGGTGTTTAATGCTGGAGATGGGGAGAGAGGTAGCAGAAAGGGTGGTATAGTATTAATAGTAGTTTATGCTATAGAAGCAGCATCCAGATGGAGGATGTGAGTGCTCAGAAATTACTTGTGTTTGAACTTTGGCTTTTTATAATTTAGAGCCTCGGTTAGTTCAATAGAACTAGTCTTTCAAGAAGAGGTCAACTCAATGAATTTTTTTTTTTTCTGTTTCTCTCAAACCATAAAGGATGAATAAATTAGGTGAAAGGTATGAGTAAAGTATTATATTATCATCTCTTTCATTGCGCTTAAGCATTGTTCAGAAGGAAAGTGTTCATCTCTGTATTCCCTGGGGTCACTACAGCCTGTCCCAGAGTACTTTGGAAGTGCTGACCAGTGAACTCACGGACATTCACAAAATCTGACATAATTGCCTGAGGTGGTTTGATAACATTAGGGGGACCCTTGAAGACCCTAAAACACCCTCCTTCCTTCCCTATCCCGAACTCACTAAAATTTAGGTTAAAAGAAAAAGTTATGTTTTTCTGGCGTTTTCTAAACCCAAACTACTTGGGGAAGTTGCTCAACAGTCTGATCTTTTTCTTTCTACCTGTAGCTCCGCTGGGGAGAGATTTTCATGATGGGTAACCAGGAGGTTGTTACTTGGGGTAGATGCCATGGAAAGGATGTCAACATAGATGCTTTCAATAGCTTTGTGAGACGTAGACTGATTGTGACTGCTTTTATTTCTCCTTGTAAAAAGGGAACATTCCCAGTTCCATTTTGGATGATTTGGAGTTCTGAGTATGTGTTTTAAGGTAATTTGAAAGATTGACACACCAACCTGGGGATGTGCTATAGTTTCAGTTGTTGTAGTACCTGGTGTTTCTGTGACTAATTTTAAATAACTAGGTGTTCAGAGACACAGACCTTCCTGTCTCCATGGTTGAATTAGCTTGAACGCAGTCTGTGGATTCCCTGATCCATGGGGAAAGGTTGTTCTCACAGAAAGGGGTCAGAATGTCTCACAAAGCTGGAGTAATTATCTTTTGCATACAACTCCCTCACTTCCCCTTTTCAAAAAAATGAGAGTGGAAAGGAGAGTACTTACTCTCTTTTTGCTTCTCTTATATAGGAGATGCATCGGAGATTTGAGAATGCCCCTGATTCTGCCAAAACAAAAGCCCTGCAAACTGTTATTGAGATGAAGGTAAGTGAGAATCTAATAAAGAATCTCATGGGTCACTTTACAGTTTTAAGTGACCACATACTTTCATGTGTGAGTATTAGAAAATGGTATGTAATAATATTTCACTCCTGTTGGAGATTGAGAGGCAATAGTAAGACTTAATGAACATGCCATCTTAAAAGAATTTCAACTTCATTTCTTTTCATTTGTAGACCATAATTCAGTTTGCACTGAAGGGTTGTCCAAAATTTTTTTAAATCAGGTTTTCTCAACTTCTTGATCTAAGGACCCCTTTACTCTCTTAAAGTGACAGGCTCACTTCCTTCATTTTTAAGAAAATGTCTGCCACATACCGAGTCTGAGGAACCGTAGTTTGTCGGTTGTTCTTCTGAGTGAAAATAGCGTTCTATGAAGAAGGTACCTAATTCAGCTTGCAACCCAGAACAGCACACAAATACTGCTCTTGGGGACAGCCATCGTAACTCGGGGTGCAGCAGGAGTCCTGCAGGCCTTGCTCCTTCCCGTTTCATCACACAAGATGTTAAAAGATGTGCTGAGATTTATTAAAAGTAATACTTTTTACCACTTCATGAAGGACATTCTTAAGGGAAGCAGTCTTTTAAAAACTTTATTTTTCCTCTGAGAATATTTAGTTATTGGCATAAAAATAATTTTTATGCTTCTCGAGTACGGTTATGGAGCTGTTCTCTTAATTTGATTGATTTCCTCTTAAAACTTTGTTTATATTGTGTATATCTTTATTAATGGAGAAAGGATTTACCAAACAAATTCTGAGTTCTTTGTAGTTAGATAATTAGTAGTCTTGACTGTAATCTTGTAAAGGGCCTTTAGAATGGTAATTACACGGTTTTACTTTACTCACATTTACCACAAATTTATTCCTACATGTTATTTCCTGATTCCTGTTGACACTGAGTAAAATCCATGAATGGACCTATGTTCACAAAATTATTTCTTTACTCAATTTTTGACAGAATGGGGAAGTGTGATAGTATCAATTGGCAGTGGATATATTTTAAGTTGTGTTAACCTTCAGGTGTTCTGCGAAGAAGCTGGAGATTCTGGTGTCCCAGTGGGATCAAGTGGATGTTATGCTGAAATCACAACTGAAATAGCTGAGCTGCTGAGAATGTGACATTAGATTGAGAGAATTATGATGATCTAGAATAGTCTTTGAGGGAAATGGGAAAACAAGATGATTGCTAGCAATGAAAGAGCCCAGTAATCTTCAAGGTGATACAGATTTCTTTTCTCCTCTTCCTCTCTTTCCCCTTTCCCCTTCCCATTCCTTCTCCTGTCGTCTTTTCCCCTTCCATTATTTCCCCACTCTGCCCCTCTTTTCCTTTTTTTCCCCTCCTTTTCTTCCTCTGCTTTTTTTCTTTTCCCTTTAGCAGTTGAGGAGCAGTGAAGAATTGCTGTACTGCTCTAGGGTTAGAGTTTTGCTGGGTAGATTTAGCAGATGTTTGGGATGCAAATGAATTAAGGGTGATGATGAGAGAGTAGTTTGGATGATCAGTCCTAGGATGTACTCTGGATGTGGAAGAAGAAAATTTAGAGGGAATGACTGGTTAGGAGAAAATGTAAAAGTTAGGAAAGTGGAGTTCTCTATGAGGTCAAAGAATAGGAGATGATCAGAGTGAGGGTAGGAAGGTGATGACAGCATCCAGAGTGCAGTCCTGTAAACTGGATAACTGAAGTGGAGCAGGGGATGAGGTCATTGGCATTAAGGACCTCAGAGAATTCTAGCATTGAAAACTTTGGATGATGACAGGAGTGGGGGATTGAAGGAAAGGTTGTGAGCCAGATAGGTACCAAATACTTCATAAAATGGGCGGGAGTGATTGAGAAGTCTCTAGATGGGTGCAGTGAAAAGGAGTATGAGCTTTACAAAAAGGGGAACTGCACTGAGGAACCAGGAGAACTCCAACCCTGTCCCATGCTCCTTTGTGGTGCTGGGGCATTACTGGTCTTCACTGGAGAGAGTTCAGGAATGTTATATTTTTGGGGAAAATCAGGTTTTACTTGGGACAGGGAGACAACCTATGAAGAAATGTTGAGGATTTGGGGGATTTAACAAGGAACAGAAGATTTTAATAGGCCCAGTGGGATTGATTATCAATGGTGGGAGAACCATGGCTGGGGAAATACTGAGGTAAAGAGTAAGGTGAAAAGGAATTTATTTACTTAGTTATTACACATACTAGGAGTAAGAAATCTGGTTGGAATGCCTATCTTCAAGTAAACCCAGCCTTGGTACCAGTTGTGTCAGAACTAGTTGAGAGTGTCAGGCATCAGTGTTCTGGCCTGATTTCAGAGAGTAGGCTGGTAGGTTCTTTTTCTGGGCAATCAGTGCCTGCCTCATGGTTTTCAGAGCTGCAGTCATGGTCCCTTTTTGGAGAAAAGCTTTTACGGTGCATGATTTCGTAGTGGGGGTGCTGTCTCTTTGTCTGTATTGGGGTTAGGGGAGAGGATGGATAATGTTTTTCGGCAAGGGCCTAGTAGATGCATTGTACAGGTGGAGGCTGTCATGTGATGTGCAAAGCTGGAGTTCTTACCTGGGGGCTGTATTGTCTTGTGTGGAGCCCAGGTGGTGCTATAAGTATACTTGCCTCTATCAGCTGGTCCCCTTTCATTACCACCCAGGCTAATGTCAGAAGAGAACCTGTATTTCATTTTCTTCTGTTTTCAGGTTAGTCACTTGCATATGCCTAGTATTTTAGTCATTTTTAAGTGCCTGTATCTTGAGATTTCCATAGAAATTTGTAGTAATCTTAAAAGTAAATGTTCAGATTGTGCAATTGAAGTAGATTGTACAATTTACAGCTTAGGAGAGGGCATGAGGTCCACTAATTTTAAATGAGTAAATCAAAATCCTGGCTTAGGTTTAGATTGTTTCTGATTGCATTAATTCAGTACATTAAATTTTGAACAAAATGTAAATTTAATTTGAATAGATTTGTGAAAGAAAAAAATTTTGGTGATATTTCTAATGGTAATGCAGTGAGCAAGACAGAGGCTTATATCCCTCTCCTCTCCCCTTCCCTGAACCTGGAAATAGCTAATTGTAGTTGTCTCATGATGAATTCTTAAACTCTTTTTATCTTCACGCTTGAGGAATTATGATAGCAAGGAAAGTCAATCAAATCCTGGGGTAGAGTGGAAAAGGAAGTCAGTCTCAAAATTGCATCCTAAAGGGATGGTTTCTGTAAAACTCCAAGTCTCTCTTTCCTAGGTGAATAAGCATATGCAGCTACAGATAGAAAATTATTCATTCTGTGTAGGAGTTTTCTGTAATTGAAGAGGTCTAAATCAATCTGAGGCTAAACTAAACACTGTGACAAAATCAAGAAATTGAATCTAGAAGGATGTTCAACTAGAAGGTGACATTTGTGGTAATGATAATGATTTACAGAGACTGGTTTTTAAAAAAATTATTAAATATTGGGCTGGCCTGTGGCTCACTTGGGAGAGTGTGGTGCTGATAACACCAAAGCCACAGGTTCAGTTCCCTATATAGGGAAGGCCGTTAGCTCACTTTGTTTGGTCAGCACCAAGTCAAGGGTTAAGATCTCCTTACTGGTCATCTTAAAAAAAAAAAAATTATGAAATGTTTCAAATGAATGGAGAAGTGTAGACAATAAGTAAGATTTCTAACATAAAAAGTAATTGTTAGTATAGTTATTCATTCCTTTGATTTTCTGCAGTGGGATCTTATACAGTTTTTGTGATTGTAAATATAGTTATGCACATCATTGTATACATCTTTGAAACCCTCTTGCTCTTTCCCCATCCTTTGGGGCAGAAATATGCCTTTAATAGGTCACCAAATAAAATGATAAATATTAGAACTAGAAAGGATTTACTGTTAATATTACAAATTTTTTTCACCAGAAATTTGTTGACCATAAGTGCACAGAAACTTTAACCAGTTTTCCATTGCTTTTTCTTTTTTATCCCAACTTTAATTGAAAGGGTCCAGACTAGAGATGGAAAAATCATATTGTGGATATGAGTTCTCTTCCTCTCACTCAAATGGCCGTAAAGCGTGTATTTTAGAAGCAAGGCACCAATTACCAGGCAGCAATTTTTCTGTATATTTATTTATCTTTAGTTAAGTTTAACATCTTTAAGGACTGATTTATTCAAATTCTCTGAGTTTTTGAGAATTCTTTAATGTCTAAATCTTCCATTGTCCTCAGGATTCAAAAATTTCCTCTATGGAGCGTGGGCTTCGAGACCTGGAAGAGGAAATTCAGATGCTGAAATCAAATGGGGCTTTGAGTACTGAAGAGCGGGAGGAAGAAATGAAGCAAATGGAGGTGTATCGGAGCCATTCTAAATTTATGAAAAATAAGGTAATGGTGTGTGATGCTCTTTATTTGTTAAAAGGGCTTGAAAAGTGGATGCATATTTTACTTTGTTTGTGATGATCGAGATGTACTGCACTCTGTTTTATCAGATTTCAGGAAGAATACTTCCAGCACAGTTCTTTCAAGTGGAACTTTCTCAGAATTAGTCAGAATTACTGACATCATATAGTTATTACAAATTTTTACTTAAAAGAAAATTGCCCGTATGATGCTAAGTATGTATTGTCATGATTTAGCTTTGCATATGTATCAGTACTTCTGAGGAGATTGAGTAGAATTATATCCACATGAGTTTTCTCACTATATGAGACATCGAGTTCTTTACCTCTTCGTGAAGTATTTTAAAGGTCAAAACCCCGAGAGGCTGACTTCAGCCTCCCTCTTTTCTGCAATGGGCTAAGTGAAATCATGTTTCGTAAAGGAAAACCCTTTGCTCTGTCCCTTGGGGAAGATCCATTTGCTATCAAGTTTACTGCTTCCCCTGTGCACTTCAGTCATACATACAGTAAGATAGATAACCACGAAGACCTATCAGCCTGTGTTTATAAAATCACAATATTCCTTCCTTTAGACCCAAAGTCATTTAGTTTGATTCTATAAACTATTTAGGCAAGTTGGAGGATTTAGTTTATTGTAGTTATCTATTTATCAGTTTTATTTGGTTAATTAAAAATCATAATAGTAATTATAAAATTTTAGCCAGACAATTTTGGTTTCTCCATTCTCTATCCCACTTGTAATCTCCAGTTTCTCAGAACTGAAAACTGAAACATTCCCAGCAGTGTAAAGGAAGGACATAGTCATACTCTCTGTCCAGTTTCTAGCTTCTTACTGTGGCATATACATCTGTAGAATATTTCTCTATTGTTTTAAGAATCAGTTATCAATGATTTCTGCTAATTTCATGTTAATTTTAGAACTTAAAAATCCACATATCAAACTTTCTATTTGGATTTTTCACCCTAATTTGAGAACAAAATATACTGCAATGTAATCTCTATGTTTATGCTTCTCATTTGTTGAAGAGCACATTCCAGTCGATTAAAAAAAAACTTGTGAATATAGAGAGACCTTTGATGGCCCTTCAAAGAAGGACTTGGGGAACAGATTTGATTGTGTTATATAAATGATTGTTATTTTTAGTTACTGCTCTGGCTCAAAAGCAGATGAGAAGAAGACCTAAGTTGACACACAAGTGAAAAAGAATAACAATGTCGTGACAGGTAGAGCAACTGAAGGAGGAGCTAAGTTCGAAAGAGGCTCAAGGGGAGGAGCTGAAAAAGAGAGCGGCTGGTCTTCAGGCTGAGGTCTTTGCCGTAAGATTTACCTCTGTGTGTGCAGTGATCCCACAGTGGGACCCTGCTCGCTCTGGCTTCTGGGTGGCTTATACTTGCATTCTCTGTGATTGGCAGCTTTGCCCATAACTAGCACTAACCAGCCTGCTCTGCTCTTTAACCGACTCTTGTCACTGGTTTGACCCATATGTCACTTTGTGTGCAGTGAGCCCTCACGTGTTCTGGAAGCCCTGTACTTGGTTCTTCATTATTGCTTTTGTCACTCTATGGATGGTATTTCAAAGCTCTTTTTCCTCCACCCCTTTTTACTAGATTCTTGTTGATTTATATGAATGGTGGGGTTTTTTTTCTTCATAGATATAAGAACATGAAGAAATTCTAGGCCCATCACCTACAGTTTTTTGAATTTGAAATTCTTGAATATAGTGCTTTACCTTCTTTTGTAGGCATTGTCTTTAAGTCCCCATTAGGTGATTTTGCAACAAATGTTACTTTCTTTAGGACAGATGTATAGAAAGTAAGGAATTAGCTTATTTAGAATTACCTAGTAAATTAAAATTAGTATGAGATGTATTTAAGTATCTACATCTAGTTCAGTCTTCTAAAAACTTCAAATTCCATTTTAAAACATAATAAAATAATAAAAAGCAACAAAATAGCTGACACTTGCACACTTATTAAAAGCATTTTATAACCTGATGAGGTAGGTGTGTTATCAACCGTAGTTTATACATGAGGAAACCGAGGTAACAGAATGGTGCCTAGAAAAACACAGCTAGTAAGAGGCAGGGTTTGGTTTTATCCAAGTAATCCGGTTCCAGAAACTGTGCTCATAAGCTCCTTACTAGATTGTCCTATACTGGGCTGTGTATACGTTTGTCAAAGTGTCAGGGAAAACTGCTTCTGAAAACAATTGTGGTTTGAGGCTGGAATGGAGCACTTAAAAAAAAGGTTGTGCTAATTTGGTATATTAGTTGTTTATGGACGACTTTATAATACAGAAAAAAAGGTAAAATATTTTGTCTGAAAAGTTCTAATTTGGATTATGGTAACCATTATTGTCTAGAGGAGAAGTTGATCTGTAACTTCCTTTTTTATTTCTTAGCTACTATTATTCATTTTTGTGTTGTGTCAGATAATAGGCTAAGTACATTTCATACTTCTTTACTGAATTCTTAAACAACACAGTGGCATCGGTATAATTTTTCCATATTACTGACTAGAGAACCAAGGTTTAAAGAAGTAAAGTAGTTGCTCAAAGACACGTAGCTAGCTCAGCGTAATGTGTGACTGAGGGCAAAACCTCGAGCTCCTAACTTTTATATTATATTTTCTTCCCATTTATAATATTCTCTCCCCTTCTCAGTCTTTAAGGAGAATTTGTGCTTCTACACTGCTTTACATTTAAATTATTTTATTTTTTCATTCTTTAAGATCAATGTAGCATTATTTGAAGCTTATTTAATAATACAGATGATGAGGAAACAGATATTGTATTTATTTTTGATCACATGATTGGAGGTAGCTGAAAATTTGAATAATCTTTAACTCATGGTTTTTTTTTGTTTTTTTTTTTTTAGTCTTTTGTCTTTTTTCCGTGTCCGGCATCGGATCGTAACCCTCAGTGTTGCCCCCGTACCGGACCGGGGACCGGCAACGGGATTGCAACCCTCGGTGTTGCTCCCGCGCCTCGCTCAGCCAGTGAGCGGGAACCGGTCTGTATGTGGGATCCGAACCCTTGGGCGGGAGCGCCGCCGCGCTTCCCAAGCGGCGCACTATCCAGTGCGCCACCGGGCCGGCCCTAACTCATGGTTTTTTAGCTGAGCAAATGTTAACACTTTGAACATTTCTCTTGAAAATTCATTCATACAACAAATGTGTTTTTAGCACAGTATGTTTGTTAAGGATGGAATAATACTAATGTGCATTTCTTTCTTGGTAAAAGGATATCATGAAAGATGCCACACTGTTACAGTATATGGTAACTCCTGGATACATATCCGTTTTGCAAGATGAAAACAGCTGCCACTTAGTTATCTTTCACTGATGTTCTTAGAATACTCAGGTACTTTGCATGCAATAAGCAGGCAGAAATGTTTGTTGAATGAATGAATAACTATTACTGCAAATAGAGATTTCATGCATATGAGAAGAGTACTGGTCTTTTTGTTGAAACAAAACTAAATTAGAAATTTACTTTTAGTGCTTCTTAAATGTCTAAATTGTATTCAGATTCCTCTACCAGCCAGATGAAAAAAAAAAGTCTACTTGCAATTAAAGTAAAATTTATTTTCTCATGGGAAATTTTTCTCTAAAGTGTTGTTCCTGTACCTAAGAATATTACAATTAAAGTGCTTTAGATACATTCAATTTTTAAAAAATAAAGTGCTTTTTGTTTCATTAGTGATACTGAAATTACTCACTCTTGTCAAATTTATACTTCCAATAATTAATCTATGTTTTAGTGCCTTGCTAGGTGGTAAAAGCAGATCTGATTTTTATTTATTTGGCTTACATTTAGAGTAAAATACTTTTTAAAATTCTTAGAAACAGAAGGAATGTAAAGATGTTTGAATGAAAATATTTTCTATATTAAGAGAGAAATTTATGGGGGGGTGAATGGCACCTATTGATTTGTCGGTTACCCTTTCAGAGTAATAAACATCAAATTGCACATGTAGGTTCTTATGGAATGAGATTTTATGCGTTTATTTAGGTCACATACTTTCATCCAGTTAGCAGGTACAACATGTTAGAGGTGATAGAACTTTGTAGGTGGAATCTTTTTATTAGTTCATATATAACTCAAAGATAAGGATTTTATGCAAACTTTTGTTTAAGAATGAAAAATAAAAGTTAATGAAAAAATAAGGAAACAGCAGCAGCAGCTTTTGAATTTACTTTAAATAGTCGTATTAGGTGGTTTCTTTCTTTCCTTCTGTGTTGTATCTCTACTAATCCTTTGACCCATCATGTTCTGGGGAGGTCTGACTTAAAAAAAAATGAGAACTGTTTTATTAGCATGGTGATATTCAGGTGCTTAGTGTTATCTGATAGTCATCTAATTGAATCGTAATCTCCTTTCTCTTCTTTGCTTCACTCTAAGGGGTTTCAAAGACTTTAGAAGACAAAATAAATGAAAACTAGAAGTTTCCTATTTGTTGAATTAACTTAGTTGTTTTTTTTTTTTTTTTTGGTGGTGGGGAGGAAGAATCCAAGATTAGATGATACAAAAGGATGAATATGTCCTGTCATAAAATTAACATTGCATTTAGTTTCATATCTTGTGGCTCAGATCTGTCAGAGATCCAGATCAGAGGGGGTTGTTTTATTTCTTTTTTCCTTACAGTGTTTTATTTATTTTTTTTCTAGATTGGCCAGGTGAAACAGGAGCTGTCCAGAAAGGACACAGAACTACTAGCCCTACAGACAAAGCTAGAAACGCTCACAAACCAGTTCTCAGACAGTAAGCAGCACATTGAAGTGCTGAAGGAGTCTTTGACTGCCAAGGAGCAGAGGGCTGCCATCCTGCAGACTGAGGTAAAGAGGATTCCGGGATTTGGGAGGAGTTGATCCCTTGGCACTTTTTCATACTTGTTATCTATGCTGTTTTTGTTGTTTCAATTTGGAAAATATGAATAATGTTATGATTATTTAGCAGCGTGATCAGTTATTGTACTAAAATACAACCATCTCGTTTGAGTTATTCTTAGATCTAACAAATTAAAACTAGTGCAGTTTATTTATGTTTTTAATACCTTGAACTTTTAATATGTCTGTTCTTCAAATACGAGGGTACTTCAAAAAGTTCATGGAAAAATAGAATTAAAAGATAATGCACATCTTCCTATGAACTTTTTTTTCCCCTTTTTGTCTTTTTTATTGACCGGTAACGGGATCGCAACCCTCGGTGTCGTGCCTGTACCGGGGACCGGCAACGGGATCGCAACCCTCGGTGTTGCGCCTGCACCACACTCAGCCAGTGAGCGGGAACTGGTCTCCACATGGGATCCGAACCCTCGGCGGGAGCGCCGCCACGCTCCCAAGCGGCGCACTCTCCAGTGCGTCACTGGGCCGGCCCTTCCCATGAACTTTTTGAAGTACCCTCGTATACTCTAAATAACATTATCAAAATGAAAGGATAATTGTAAAAATGGAATCATTGATTTAGAAGCTTTAATTCTCACCTATGGTAAATCTTCTTGTTATGAATGACAATAAGCTTGGTTACCCTATGTTTGGATTACATTTAAGTGTTCTTTTTCCTTCTTTTTTTTTTTTAACCATTTAAGTGTTGTTAATTTTTGATGTTATGAGTAACTTTATGTAGTAAAACTGGAATCTATAGATGTTCTAGATAGACCTGGCTTTAAACCATAGGTCATTAGAAAATGTGTCTTTATATCCTGTTTGAACATAAAGTTATTATTTTTGGAAATCTTCAAAGATTATCTAGTGCTGTTGGCCCCACCTTCAGGTAGGAATACATTAAATAATTACAGATAGATTCTTATCTATCATATTTTCAGTGATCAAAGAGAAGGAATTGATGATGCTATTTAAACTTATTGTCTTAATATACATATATATATATATTTTTTTGTCTTTTTGTCTTTTTCCGTGTCCGGCAACGGATCGCAACCCTCAGTGTTGCCCCGCACCGGACCGGGGACCGGCAACGGGATCGCAACCCTCGGTGTTGCTCCCGCGCCTCGCTCAGCCAGTGAGCGGGAACCGGTCTGTATGTGGGATCCGAACCCTCGGGCGGGAGCACTTATCCAGTGCGCCACCGGGCCGGCCCCCATAATATACATATTTTTTTAAAGATCTCAGTGAAATAGGTAATTTAAGTAGTAATAGACAAGTAGTTCTGCTGTGTAGAAGAAAAATGAAGCATATGATGTAGATGGGGGTTTTTGTTTTGTTTTGTTTTTTGTTTTTGTTTTTTTTCTTAAAGAACCAGATAGTAACTAAGTAAGGGCATAGTTTGATGGAAAAAGGAACTGCGGAGGAAAAAGAAAGAGTAAAAAGGTCATAGTCCTAGAAGATGAGAATCTTCACATGAGGAATGGGGAAAGGCATGGGGAAAGGACCAGAACTCTTTCATATATTTTTATCTGTACAGTTTGATGCTTTGTTGAAAATGAGAGATTTGGATGATATATTTGTCAGTTTTCTTATAACTTACACTTTTTCTATTTTAGTCGTGTTTCGTTTTATCATGATATTAGCTCCATTCTACCTCACATGAGATGTGGCAGTGGTTAAGGCTCTAACTCTAGAGTCGTGTTACTGAGTTTGGACTTCACCTTTACCTCTTACTACCAGGTGCCTGACCCTGGGCATGTATTTGACTTCATTGTGCCTCACTTTCCACATCTGTAAAATGAAGAGAATAGTAGTGCTTAACTCATAACTTGTCATTAGAATTAAACTAATTTATTCATGCGTAGTGCCTGGCACATAGAAAGCTCTTTGTAATTAGTCACTGTCGTCATCATTATAATTCTTGTAATAAAATCAGCAGGTACGTATACATTGTTAAGATGTTAGGAGAACATAAAGGCTTTCTCTTTCATTGGTATAATTTTTATTTAGAAGATCTGCTCTTTCATATTTTTATTAAGCTAAATTTAGGTTTATTCAGGCTATTACAAATGTAAAATCATCTGGAAAATGTTACCTAAAAGTTATTAATTTATGGCTTTTTTTAAGGGCTTTGCACTTCAGTAACTTGTGTACATGCAGTACTACAAAAGGGTCAGAAGAGGGTGCCAGTGTGTTAGAGGTGGGCCCTACTTCCAGGTTTGCTACTGTAATAGAGGTGGCAGGTGTGCGAACCAGACAGCCAAGCAGTTGGCTAATGATAATGCAAACATTTAAAAGCTTGTCACAGTCTAATAAATGACTTTTCCCCCTTGGCAATCCATCCTTCTCTTTGTACACCTCTCAAATAACGTTCTTATTAGCTTGGTCTCACACAAAAGGGCTTGTGATTGGTTTCTTGTACCATAGAGAATAAAGACTGTATTTGTCGTCATTCTTGAATGCCTTTTTTTTATTTGTTTTCAGCCATTGAGAGTAGCTGAGTCTAAATGATTACCCCCATAAGTTACTAGGACAACTGCTCAAATATAACCATCTTATCCTGAAAAGAGTATGAAAGCTAACTTCCTTTTGAATTTGGTATAATTATGAAAATGTAATGTGCCTATTTATTAGCATTTACTTTTAAAAACATTACCCTGGTGACCCTTGACATGAGTCACTTTTTCCAAAGCAACTTTACTATGTTAGAACTCAATAAAAGGCAGTTTGTCCCAGCTCTTTGAAAGCTCTTGTGTATTTCTATAATTTGTTCTTGATTTCGTCCTCTTCTCTGCAGTTATACTAGACTTTGATCTAACACTCCAATCACTGAATTAAGCATGTATGAAAAAGAGCATGGATCATGGAGTTTTAAAAACTTTAAAATCCTTTAAGGATTTTAAGAGTGATGTTGGAAAAGACCTGATTTTTTTTTTTTTTTTCTTTCTTGTTCTGGGTACATGGAATGAGGCCCTCTGGTTTTGTGAAGTATACATTATATATAAGATTGCTCCTGTTTTATGATCATCTCTTTTAGTATGTTGACCTTCACAGAGGTAGTCTGGATTTAGTAACATAGTGATTAAAAGCATGGGCTTTGGAGTCAGACATAGGCTCAAAACCCAACCCTCTATGTTTACTAGTAGTATGACCTTAAATGAGTTATATATTACCTATTTAAGCCTCTGTTTCCTCATCTTTAAAATGAGGATAATGATACAGTAATGGCTAACTTCCTAAGGTTGTTATGGATAGGATAAATGTTCAACTGTATAGTTCTCATCTGAATATGGAGGGAAGTTTAAATTCAGTGGGTTAAAACTTTTTTGAATACCTTACAGTTTTGTTTTATTTGGTATTGTTTTATTTGCTCCTCATAGTAATGGTATGGGTTAGGCAAGATAAATATTGTCGTCTGGCTTTTATAATAGAGAATTATATGAAGGGCTTATGAGCACATGTCGGGCCTTAAAAACTAACGCCACCTTAAGTGACATTACAAGTGGCGCCATTATGGGCCCACAAGGGCATATTAACGTGGCAGCATAAGATGGCTGGTAGGAAGTAGGGTGGGAGTGTCTGCAGGAACCTTGCCTTAGCCCTTATTGGCCAAATAGGCGCTTCCGTGCTCGTGAACACTGCATGATTGCAATAGCTAGGCATTGAGACAGGATGCATGCTCTCGTAACCTTTAAGCTGATTGGAGGATGTAAAAACCTCCCTTCCCCATTTGCCATTAAAAGCAAGTGCTTGTGTGATAATAAATGGAACTGCTCAACAGAACCCCCGCCGCGTCTGAGTGTCCTTTAACTGGCTGGTTGGGGCCGGCGGCTGTGCTCACCTCTCTTCGCAGCTCTCTCCTCTCAACGGGGACCAGAGGGAAAGAGGAATCCGGGCAATTTGCTCGCCCACCAGAAGGAACACCAAGGGAGAGACTGATAGCGAGGCAAGGGCTGTTTGGGTCGGGCGGCGGCGGACCTGACAAGCACACTGCTTTTGATCAGCAGTTGGGGCCACTCTCACCAGTGACCCTGGGATTTTTGATACTGGTTACAGGATTCTCAGGAATTTTTCTATTTTATGTCCACTTTCTTGTTCCTAAATCTTAATGCCATACCATGGACCTCCCATTGAATTAATTTTCTTGATGAGTTCTCAGTGATCAGAGCAGAGCCAATTTTATCAATAAACTAAAATAATGTAGACCTTACTGTTTCAAAGTAGTACTGTTTTTTTCTTACGTCTCCAGGAAAAACTGTGTTTTGGAATTCTATTTATCATAGGTGAGCATTATCACAAGTCTTAGTAGTGTAAGAGGAAGTGGTTCTCTTTTCATAGGAGAGTCAAGGGATCAGCATTTAGCACAAAGCAGAGAATTGCTGGTAGCTCTTGGATGTTCCAGCACTGGACCTAGGATGCTACTGTTTGACATGTACCTTCTGCTTGCAATCCTACCCAGTGCCCTGGTATTCTGCCTCTTCAGTTAGAGTTCTGACTTCCTCAGCATACTTAGAGTTGGTGATACATTCTTAGGACTAGAGGACAATTTTAGAGATCACCTAGTTTTTCCATAATTTAACAAATATATATGATAATATTTACATTGAGTACTTTCTGTGTACCATGCAGGGTGTGTATACTTTCATTCATTTTCTTGTTTCTCAGTTAATCCTTACAGTAACCTTCTAAGAAATAAGAATTGTAACATTTTACAGATGGGCATGCTGAAGCTTAGGGAGATTGAGATTTACGTGACCTATTGCCTGACTACCTGGAATTCAGAAACTGATCAATTAAAACTCCAAAACTTATGTTCTTCATCACAATGCTGTTATTCCTCCCTGTGAGGAATCTGAGGTGCAGAGAAGGTAAGCAATATGCTGAAGGCCTCTACAACTATCTAGTATTAGTTTTGGGACTAGAACCATCATTTCAGACTCTGTTAATTATGG